CATTGCTAAATAAAAAAAAAATTATATATATATATATATATATATATATATGACTCCAAAACTTTAACAGTGGTGTGTGTATTACTGTATGTTGCTTTACCTTCAGGAGGTTCAGACATGGGGGGCGAGAGGCAGTACATGTGGTAACCTCGATCACAGTCATCACAGAACAACAGCTGGTCCTGTGGCAAAGCATGTGAGACTACTTCACAGAGAATCCAAATAAGGATGCATAATGAACTGAGAGAAAGAACAGGACTAGTTTTCACTGAGGAGGTTAAGTAAATTTCTTTTTTTTAATTTGATATTCTTTGATAACTCAAGCATTGTTTTAGAAAACAAATACTACCTAGTGCTTAAGAGATTAAGGCAGCTGATATGCTTTTATGTCTAGATAGAGGTAAACAAACTCACATCATTTTCTGAGGTTCCACATATGTTACAGCACTTGCATTCAATGCACTGCCAGCGATAGGTTTTCACAGCAGCCATCATTACTGGAGTGAACTGCAGACACGAGGGGTGACCTGAGAACAGAGAACAGATCAATGATAACTTGGTCAAGAAAAATCCAAAGAAAGCAAGCAGGTGAATGTGTGTGTGTGGCTGTTTTACCAGAACGGCCACAGTCTGAGCAGGACACGAGCTCTTCTGATTGGCCAGTTTTCTGGTTCAGGTTAGAATCTCCCAAACAAAAATCACAGTAGTTGTTCGGCAGAGCCAAACAGTCTGGGCCCTTCTTAGGAGCTGGCCGAGAGACAGAAAGAGAACAGAAAACACCTAGCATCAATCATAGAGTTCAATGAAAATTACACAATCCAACACTGCCCCTAGAAGCTGAAACATTTGTTTAAAACTATTACGCTGATGGCATTTTAAAATCCTGTGAGATGCTGCCTTCGTCGAGCATTCCAAATTGGCCACTTATGAGGTTTCATTTAGGACGCTACCTTAGAAGACAGGCAAAGCACTTCACATGGTTTCGAAATAAAGCCATACTGTCAATACTTATGCGAATTACACTGTGCCAGCCAGTTACAGTTTATAAGAAATATATTTTTAGTTTTATTGCAAAACACTGTGTAAAACATGTCACTCAAAGTGACAGTTAAATGGCCTCTGTTCATTTGGCTACCAGGGTCTGTGCAACAAGAAGCATGATTAATTGCTTACTCTTCGGTTCGTCTTGTTGGGGTGGAGTTGGTTCGCGAATGTCCATCTCATCTTTCTCCTCCCCCTCCTCCTCAGCCAAGTGAGAGTGGGCGTAATGATAACTGAGACCAGGCCTGTTCTTATAGCGCTTCCCACAGACTACACACATACACACACATACACACACATACACA